AATAAGAATAAAAATAAGAATAAAAATAAGAATAAAAATAAGAATAAAAATAAGAATAAAAATAAGAATAAAAATAAGAATAAAAATAAGAATAAGAATAAAAATAAGAATAGAATAGAATAGAATAGACTGGATTACGCTAGTCTAGACTATAAAGACTAGATTAGACTAGAACTAGCCTAGGAAATGTGGAATGGAAGGGAAGGGAGGAGAGGAGGAGGAGGAGAGGGGAGGGGAGAGGAGAGAGATTATGGAAGAGAGGAGGGGAGGAGGGAAGGGGAGGGGGGAGGAGAGGAGAGGAGAGGAGAAGAGAACAGAACAGAACAGAACAGAACTTTATTTGGCCAAGTGTGATTAGACACACAAGGAATTTGTCTCCGGTGCAGAAGCTCTCAAATGTCCATGCAAACTGAGTGTAATAATCGTAATAATGATACCAATAAGGGGGTCGTAGAGAAGATGAGAAGGACCCAAACGCTCCAATCCCAGCTCCTCTTGAATTCCGTTGACTTATCTGGTGCCAATTGATCACAGAACTTCAGTCGCCCAGATCCTTGTGTACCGATTTGAGCAATCAGCCTTCTGAACTGCAACTTACAATACCATCCCTATCCTTGGCGCCCGGCATCCCGACCCTGACAACTATCACAACCTCGCAACGCATTCACGCCCGCGTGGGGATGAACGCACAGGGAGCCACCTTGTGCTTTGAAGAAGACACAAGCTGTCACCGTCCGATGAATTTCAAAACATAAGATAAGGGACCTGAAGGAAAAGGGACATCAATGCTCCTTCAAAGAACGCTGCCTTCTCAGAGGCCGGGGAAGCCAAGGATGCTTTCCTTACAAGGGGTAGGAAAGCCATTGTAGCAGCTGTTCTTCTCCAAGAGCCAGTTGCCATCACCCACCGAAGGCTCTTTGGGAGCACAGAAACTGTTTATGTTTGCTTAATTGAGCCCAGCCCGGGCAGCCAGGATGTGCCAGAACCCTGTGTAAATCATGAAAGCTAATTTGCAGCTAAGCACCCTGGCTGGAAACATATTTATATAAATATTGTGTGCGGCTAAGGCAACCGGAGCATGCCAAGGAGAAGGACGGAGAGGAGAGAGATGGCACATCACTGAACACGGCAAGCAACCTCAACGGGGGTGGGGGCTTCCCGAGGAGAATAGGAGGCTGAGTTGGATGGACAGCAGGGGCGGCCTATTTTTTCAAGCCACCCCTGAGTGATTTCACACTGTTGTCCAGGAAATATAAAGTACTTGTGACGCGGCGGTGAAGTTTAATCGGCATTTTAAAAAAGATTTCCCATTTAAAATAGCCACAGCTCACGAGGGATCTTGCAAGGGATCTCAACTTCTGAAGATCGGGCAATGTCATGAGATGTTAATTTTTTTGTGTTGTTGTTTAAATTTCTTTGTCAAAGAAAAGAGTGTGTGTGTGTGTGTGTGTGTTTGAGTTATTCAATGCCATTTTAGGGTCCTGGGTGAATGTCTCGAGGGTCAACCCTGAAGCTGACCTGACCGAAGTCATATTGGAGCTTCAGTGTTGCCACACTGGATTGTGCGCGCACTCACAACCAGCAAACTGGTTGTTAACGTAAGTGTAGCCCACCTCTACTTCTCCTCCTCCTCTTCCTTCTCCTTCTCCTCTTCTTCTTCCTCCTTCTTTTCCTCCTCTTCCTCCTCCTCTTCCTCCTCTTCTTCCTCCTCTTTCCCCTCCCTCCTCCTCCTTCCCCTCCTCTTCCTCCTTCTCCTCCTCTTCTTCCTCCCCTCCTCTTCCTCCTTCTCCTCATCTTCCTCCTTCTCCACCTCCTCCTCTTCCTTCTACTCCTCCTTCTCCTCTTCTTCTTCCTCCTCCTCCTCTTCCTTCTCCACCTCCTCCTCTTCTTCTTCCTCAACCTTCCCCTTCTCTTCCTCCTCCTCTTCCTTCTCCTTCTTCTCACCTCCATCTCTTCCTCTTCCTTCTCCTCCTCCTTCTCTTTTCCTCCTCCTCTTCCTTCTCCTTCTCCCCCTCCCTCCTCCTCCTCTTCCTCCTCTTCTTTCTCCTCCTCCTCCTCTTCCTTCTCCTTCTTCTCCTCTTCCTCCTCCTTCCCCTCCTTTTCCTCCTCCTCCTCCTCTTCCTTCTCCCCTCCTCCTCCTCTTCCTTCTTCTTCTCCTTCCCCTCCTCCTCCTCTTCCTTCTCCTTCTCCTTCTCCTCCTCCTTCTGCAAATTGAGTTTGGGAATTTTGAATTCCAGATCTATGTATTGTTGTTTCATTTGAAACCCTCATACCCAGGGGTGAAATTCAGCAGGTTCTGGAGAACTGGTAGGGGAAATTTTGAGTGGTTCCGAGAACTGGCAAAAACTACCTCTGGCTGGCCCCAGAGTGGGGTGGGAACTGAGATTTTGCAATATCCTTCCCCCAGGAGTGGAGTGAGAATGAGGATTTTGCAGTATCCTTCCCCTGCCACGCCCACAAAGCCACACCCATGGAACCGGTAGTAAAAAAAAATTTTTTTTGAATTTCACCACTGCTCCCATCTACGACCAAGCATGGTGGCCTCAAACCAATCGAGTGCAACCCATCCATCCAAAATATGAAAATTAAGAAAATGCTAACCCTAGATTCTTCTGATTTTTTCCCCTCTTTTGGCATAAAAATGTGAAGGAAAAACAAAGACTCCCAAAAACAATGTTCTTGAAAATAATCGGGAAAAGAACACGACGCTGTATTGTTATCTTCTGTTTGAAAAACACAAAACAGCATGTTACTGTTTTCTCCTACAGTTTGTTCCCTGTTGTATGACAAGAGATTAGATTTATGGGCAGCTTCGGCTTTGGTCTTGTGGATTAATTTTCTAGAGCTGCTGGACACAAAATGATCACTTTTTTATTTTTTAATATCAAACAAGCATTTTTTTTTTTAGTGCCTTGCAAATATTTTGGCAGTTGGATGCCTTCATTGGCAACCTTGTCAGCTACATCTGAGGACTTTCTGGCTGCTATTATATCTTCCTTTTTGGCTTTGCTTTCTTTGTGATAAGAAGCTATTTTGCTGGCAGAAGGGAAATCTGGAATCGATGAGATAAAGACAGTAAAAACAGTGAAGGGGGAAGACTGCAGGTTTTACAAGGGAGGTTTTGAGAAGATGTGAATTTAGGAAGTTGCTGATATATTCTAAGAGTACAGGTAGTCCTTGACTAAAAGATAATGGTAAAGATTCCCCTCGCACATATGTGCAAGTCATTCCCGACTCTAGGGGGCGGCAAGAGGCTGACTCTGTAAAACCGCTTAGAGAGGGCTGTTAAAACAGTAAGGTAAAGGTAAAGGTTCCCCTCGCACACATGTCCTTATCATTCCTGACTCTGGGGGCGGTGCTCATCTCCGTTTCAAAGCTGAAGAGCCAGCGCTGTCCGAAGACGCCTCCGTGGTCATGTAGCTGGCATGACTCAGTGCCAAAGGGTCCCGGGACGCTGTTACCTTCCCACCAAAGTTGGTTCCTATTTTTCTACTTGCATTTTTTACCTGCTTTCGAACTGCTNTTTATTTTATATTTTATTTTATTTTATTTTATTTTATATTTTATTTTATTTTATTTTATTTTATTGTTTTATTATTTTATTTCATTATATTATTTTATTTTATTGCCAGAAACCAGTTTGGGTTCTCTGAAGACCAAAAAGACTTAATGATAGCTGTATTTGCTTAATAACCTCCATATTTGCTTAACAACTGCTGTAAAAAAACTGGACGTAAATTAAGGCCCAGTCATGTGGTGATCTGCTTTACAGCCATCACAGTTTACAACCGAAATTGTGGGCTTGTTGGTCAAGGACTACCTGCAATTATTCCTCAATCCACATGGTGCCTTGTAGTTCAATTATAAAACGAGTTGTGATCCACCTGAGCAAGCAAAGAATAAGGGAACGCCCATGGCAACAGTCTCCAAGATGCTTTGGTGTGCAATGGTATGTGTCAGCCTATTGCTGTAAATCTTGGGCAATTTACAGAAGGAAAGAAGAGAGATTCAAAATGAACACAAGGAAATTGTTTTCAGTTACCGGAAAAATGCTCATTTCCTTTGGAATCCTAAGCCTCATTTCGGGAACTATTGCCTTTTTCCCTGTTTTTTCTTATAAACCCGAGTTTGTTGGATGGAGCGTTCGCATTGCTTCTCCCATCTGGAGCGGATCTTTGGTAGGCAGAATTGATAGATGTCTCAGAAAGAATGTTAATGTGTTTATATAAGTTGCTAGTTTGGAGGATAACTTAGTGTCTAAGTTATTAAAAGTTGATTATATCAATGTACAGTATCTGGAAATACCTGAGAAATATTTGAAGCTTCAGTGTCATGGTTCTAGAATGCAGTTTTTCTACATTACTAATATGCAACTAGAATCAGAGGTGGTATTCAGCCAGTTCTCTGCAGTTCGGGTGAACCAGTAGCGGTGGGTGCGGGAGGCTCCGCCCACACGCTCCGACGTAATGGGCAAGCACTGCTCATGTGCAGAAGGCGGTGCACATGCACAGATGAGGCATGTACGAGCGAAGTGAGCTCACATTTGAGAACCGGTAGGGAAGGTAAGTGAATCCCACCTCTGTCTGGAATGATTAATTTCTAGTGAAAATATGCAAAAAGGGTGATTAATTTCTAGCAAAAAAAAAGTTACTCTAGGAATAAAAAGGGCAGTGAAAGCTCCCCCCCCCCTTTCTAAGCCAGAGATGCACAAATTCTTGATAAACTTGGTTGTGGATTTCAGGGACTTCAAAAAGCTGTTCTGAAATGTAATTTGTAACGTGATAGTGGAGAGAAATTATGAAATGTAAACTGAAGAGTAACTTCATTAATCATATTTATTTTTCATAATTAGACACATCACATGAAACCAATTTNCAGAGGAGTGGAGTACTCTTCTCGTGAAATACTTCTGGACCCGCTCAATTGTTTAAAAGTGTTAGCCAAAGTGTTGTTGGAATTAGTAATGGCATAAAAAGTACATTCATCTGCATTTACTCTACCGGTTTCCTGAGAAAATTCCTTCCAGAATAGAATTTTGGAGAACACTGGACTTTATCTCTTAGATTTATGTAGTGATACGATGGACAGAAGCTATGTTAATATCCTGCTTTTTAATCCTTCCAATGGTCTGCCATCACCCAAGGCACAAGAAGATATCTTGAGAAAACTCTTCCAAGTCAGCTTTTCTGGAGAAGTACTACTACAATTTTCAAGGAAAAGTCCTACCATTGAAAGCTCTTGGGGAAAGAAGAGAAGAAGAAAAAATTCAAAGCAGATATTTCCTAGTTAATGGGTTTTTAACGGCTGTTTTGCTTTTGCTACAAAGACACACCCGTTGCACATGTTTCCTAAGAAATTTCGCTCCTTCAGGCAAAGGAGAATATGCTACCTCATCCTGTATTTTATAATAGCCAGTGGAAATTTAGTTCAGTAGTTCTAATATGTTGCGTGGTAGCTCCATTGTGCTTGAGAAATCAGACTGATTTCTGACTGAGAACAGGACAGACTGTCTTCCAATACACAGGAAAATTTAAGGGAAATACCCAAAGCATATTGACACTTGCTGTCAGGGCTAAGGAGCCAAGAAAAAACTAATAGCAATAGCACTTAGACTTATATACTGCTTTACAGTACTTTACAGCCCTCTCTAAGCGGGTTACATATAGTCAGCATATTGCCCCCAACAATCTGGGTCCTCATTTTACCGACCTCGGAAAGATGGAAACTTGAGTCAACCTTGAACCTAATGAGATTCAATCTGCCAAATTGCAATCAGCTGGCAGTCAGTAGAAATAGCCTGCAGTACTGCATTCTAACCACTGCATCACCATTGAGTTACTTTAGAGTACTTTAGAATAGTTTCTTTATTGCTGCTCACCTATATAAAAAAATCTTAACAGTCCAAAGTTTTTATTTGCATAACTCTTAGATATACCCCGCTAGAGGAGGTCCCCCATTGCTCTTTTCCTGAATACTAGAGATTCCAGGCTTCTGTGCCTCTTTTCTCCCTGGGGAAAGATCCCCACACTCTTGAAATTATGAAATACATTCCATCCACACCTGTGCACCTTCGTCACAAGATGCTTGCCTTAGATCATGGGTGTCAAACTCAGCGCATCACATTGCCATCACGTAACATAAACACAGAGTTTTTCCCTTCACGGAAATGGGTGGGCATGGGCTGAGTATGACTCACCTGGCCCATGGGCCGCCACTTTCACACACCTGCTTTAGATTGTCTAATACAGAGGTGGGGAACAATGACCTCTTGATGACATGACTGGATCAGGAATTCTGGGAGTTGAAGTCCACAAGTTGTCAGGCTTGGAAGTCATCGGGGGGGATAGAGCCTCAAGCCTGCCATAGATTCAAACATAGTTACTATGGGAAACTGGGAGTGGGGCTGGTATGGAGCTTGGGAGATGTGTAGCCATAATAACATTCTTTTGCATCTTGGAGCGAAGGGAAGGGGACGCGACAAACGGGTATGCAACAGCAACCTTTATTGTGAACAGAGTAACTGCGATTCAACGTGGCGTGGTTCGCGCCAAACATTTATACCCCCGGGTTTGAACAAGGAGCCAATGGGCGTCGAGTAGCTCGACCAATCAGGGCGAGGATTGAACCGGCTCCGCCCGGGAACCAATCAGAAGGGGAGTTATTCCCGCGCTTGTATTTCCCGCGCTAGTATTCAACA